CCTTAAAAATCACCTAGTTGCAAATCCCCTGCCATGGACAGGGACCCCTGCTTGAACACTTCCAGCTTGGATGGGTCATCCACAGCTTCTCTGGGCAACCTGTTAGTGTGTCTCACCACAGGCATAGTGAAGAATTTCTTCCTAATATCTAATCTAAACTTGCTCTTTTTCAGTATAAAGCCATTCTCCCTTGTCCTATCACAACATGCCCTTGTCAAACGTCCCTCTCCAACTCTGTTGTAGGCCCATTTTAGGTACTGGAAGACTGCTAGGTCTCCCTGAAGCCTTCTCATCTCCAGTCTGAACCCCAGCTCTCTCAGCTTTTCCTCATAGGACAGGCGCTCCAGCCCTCTGAACATCTTGTGGCCTCCTCTGGTCTCGCTCCAGCAGGTCCACATCCTTCTTATTTAAGTTATCTTAGCGTATTGGCCTTAAACTTTACATTGTGCATTATATTGTGCATATGGCAGATTGCCTTGCACTATGTCTTGAACTGCTACAACATAATCAGATCAGAAAGAGGAAAAGGAGATAAAATTGTGAATGATGACTTTTCATACTTAGCCTATAAAATACTTTTCAATTATGGAGGTTTGTAAGTTGCTAATGGCCATAAACCCTTTTTATTATAGAAGTCATTTTGATTATTAATTTTCCATTTTGTACTACCTGCTATATTCACCCGTATTATCCACATACCCTCTATATACCTATATATGCATTAAGTGAAAAGATTTGTTCCCTGATTGTTTTTCACAGCTTTCTGTAAAAACATAAGAAAAAATTCTACAGTCTTTTGCGATAAAGTTGGAGGGGCTCTGTGGTGTATCAGTAAATCTTTTATAAGACAGAAGCTTGCACATCTGTCTAAGGGAAAGAATATGTTTCTCGAAGATGTGTTTTATGAATAAATTTGGAACACATAAATAGACAATACAGTGAAATGAAGTTTGTAAAAGACTCGGTAATTTCTGCATTCAGGTTTTGTTATTTTGCATTCATTTTCACTTGAATAGCATAGTATTTAAATAGGCATTTTTCTAGCCACTGGGTTATTCCAACAAATTGTTGTGCATTAGGGACATCATGTTAGCAACAAGGATGAATATATTCGTATCCTTCTTACCCAGGGCATCCTCAAGAAAACAAAAGCAAATGTAACATGAATGTTGAAAGTAATAAGCATTCTTCAGCCTTACAATGCTGTATCTATTTAACATCTCATTTATTCCTATGCCATCAAGTAGTTTTGGTCGCTATCTATAGAATTGCTATTTCCACTGTTTATTAATATGCAGTATGTTCATCAAATGTCTTGCCTTGTTTAATAAGTAATTAAGTGTTCCTATTTTGGCCAAAAAAACCCAATACAATAAAAATCTTAATTGACTTCCTCTCAGGTATTCATGGAATGATCAGGTACCCTGTCTCCAGCTGTTAATTGCACTTAATATTCATGTATACATTCAGCCAACACAATTATGGAAAATGTTGCATATTCTTTAAAAAATACTGATGAAACCAGAGACTATAGGCTGAGGTTTTTTCTAGACATATATTAACAGATTAAAACAGGATTGAAGTGTGAGAGTGATTTAGGCTTTGAGTTGGGGAGATTTTATGCAGCAGAATTGTCCACTAAATATTTAAGAAAACCAACACTCCTTTTCTCAATATTGAGCATATTATACTTGTTCTTTCCTTCCTGGAAGGTGCACTATGGTACATTATTGGTTTTTTTCCCAAATTCATTACACTTTCAATACCATGGCAGCAGTAATACAGCTAAGGTAAAACGAAGCTATACTCCAGTTGATGCTCATGTTTTGCATCATAATTGGCATAATAAAATAGGTATTTTCAAGTGCTGTTGAAGCAGAAAAAGCTCTGTCTCATAATGCATACACCAGTCTAGGAACCGGAAATAGATTTTACCCTGAATTTCAGTTTCTTCCAGGTTTTGGAGCCTTTACCATCACTCCTTTTTGTTACACAGGTTGGTTGCTCCCTTTTGGTTCTGGTTTGGGTTTTCTGTGGCTCTCTGGTCTTTGTTTCTTTTTCTGTTTCTTCTTTATTTCCTCCTCTTTTAAATCCACTTTTTCATAACTGTATGATCTTTTGCTTTTGCAAGCATATTTTCTCTGTTATTCTCTATATCAGTTCATCTGATTCCTTTTGGGCAGATCATCCTCTCTTCTGCATTTTTCTCCAGTACTTCCTCATAGAAGATTCATTGACAGCTCAGACTCAAAATAGGTGTAGAACTGTATGTGTCTTTTCTCCTAAACATTTCCATCCTACTTGCCATCAAGCTCATATAGCAATGCTTAGCCAATCTTCCTCCACAATTTTTTGAAAGCCTGTCGCTTTCTCTCTATACAGACAAATGTCACTTTTCATAAGCTTTTTCACTTTTTACCACTTCTTGCACATCCTCCTTAGCATCCATATTGCCAGTCCATCCAAAACACAGCTGGCAACTGTTCTCATTGGTCAAACCATAGTTATATCTTTTAAGCTCATCTTTAGCTTCAAGATGTTCCACAATATTCTGTCCCAGCCTGTAAATCAGATCAAATGTTTCTTCATCCCAGCCATTTTGCTCTATCAATATACTAAGACTATGTACTCTTAATAATTCCATGACATCCCCTGTGCCTGTCATTACTTCACTATGCTATAAATTATAGATCCTTTTGATTCTTTGTCTACATATACTCTTTTTCCACAGTGCACAAAAATGAAAGTTTCAAAATAAATCACTGGTTCGAGGCATGTCCCAGTTTGTTGCACCTTTTTCTTGTCTTTCTCATGTCTTTGAAGCAAGTTTTTATTTTTTATCTTACATAGTATACTAGTCTATTGCTAGACTCGAGAATTTATCAATCATCTTAGGGGCTGTTGCATGGTTGTAAGTGGATTTAAATAAAGATTAACTGGCTAAAGCTTTGTTTGCACGAACCTTGATGTATGAAAGAGATGCATAGATACCAGAGACTGGAGTATTTTTATTTGGTCTTTATACTCTTTAGAGGTATTCTTCTTGATGGGGTATTTTTGGTCAAGTCACATTTTCAATTACCTAAGTAATGAATCTACTACTACGTCCTTTTGGATGTTTCTCTATTACATTGTCTAATAGATCATATTTTTTTAAAAAGTTGGTAAAGATGTAAAATGCTCTTTAGAAGTCCTAAGGAGTGTCACTACAGTATAATTGACAAGTCCAGTTCCCTGAATATATTATTTTTGTGCTTTTAAAGGTGCCTTTAGCCATTCTCCTCTTCAGGTAAACCAGTCAGCTTATCCATTTGGAATATTTCAAGTGCCTTTTGTGGTATTTTGAAAACTTTTTTTTTGGAATTCAAGGTCTCCCGAGAAGGAACATTTTCTGCATTGCAGGGATCCAGTGAGGGAGAATGAAATACAGGACATCCAGATTAGCTTTGAAGCATATTGGGAAAAAAATCATCCTCTTTGTCTCACTGCAGATCCAGAAGAAAAATATGTTCTGATGAAATTTTTCCAGACTGACATTAACTTAATGCTATTTGAGAATACTTCATTGTTGCCAATTTGCCAGTAGGTACAATGTCTACAACCTGTTAAAACATGAACTTTAGCTGAGAGAACACTGGAGGAACATAGTGAAAACCTGTTTGCTATGCATGTTTATCCATACTCCAAGAAAGATCTCAAGGGTGACATTTCCAACAGTATTGCATGATTAGCCACACCAGGAAGGAGTAAAGTAGCTGAGTGACTGCCATTTCACAGTGCAGTATAAGAGGGCATTCTCTAAGGATTCTTCTGCCTATCAGGAGCTGAGACAGCACCATGAGACTGTGTTGCCACATATGAAAACCCATAATTTGCACATTAGTAGTTCAGAGGTCGCAATAGCAGTTGCATCCAGACTTTTGTTGGTGTTGAGGGCTGAAATGAGGGTACCTGGCCTCAAATAGAGTGGTTATTATATCACTTGGGATGAGGATTTCCATTTTCAACTTGTTGTAATCAATATTCTGTCGCACCGTGAGTCACCTCAGGAAGAAATAACTGCAACCAAGAATTGTGCTGAAATTTCTTACACTGTTACTGCAGTGTGCAAGTTGTGGCTATACCTACTTGTTCCTCTAATGGTAGAAGGAGTAGATAGGGATTTTTAAACACTGCTTAGTACACTGAAAATTTATGGAGAGTTAAACCAAGCCATGCGTGAGCAGAATATGATGATTTCATTTTTTTTAATAGTGAATAGAAGCCAGCAAACAGTAAATACAAAACACCAGAATATATAGGTTATTAAATAGTTGGTTTGGCTTCATTTTGACAGTTAGTATAATGTATTGCTATTTTATTCTTAATTTGAAAAGAACTTAAAGAAATAATGTTTTGATATTGTTTTGAGATGCTTACAGTCTAGGCAGACAACATGGAGATTGAGTAAAACCACACTTGAATCACGAACAAATATGCATTGAAGTCAGAGAAAAGTTTCCTGTTAATTGCACCATGTTTTGTATTTGGCCCAAAGACCAGAAAGTACTCCATTAAAGATCTTTTTTAATGCAGCCCTTTGGCCCTGGAATCATGCAAATGAGTATTTAAGGCATCCTGGGAGGTCCCTGTCCATGAATGTTTTCAGGACTGAAGTTTTAGAGTACAGGTGGCAATACTCATCTTACATTTCATATTGGAAAAATTTTGTGGCTTTTTTTTCCAGCTGATGGAACATGGTAATTTTTCTTGTGTGCTATTAAGATATCCCTATCACTGTGTTGGACATGGGAGAGATTAAGCAATAAAAAGAATCAGAGAATGTTTATGTCAATTATTTTTTCAATAAGAAACAAAGTATGCTAAATGTGCATATGCTGCTAAATCTCTTAGTTTGAATATCTTATGGCTTCTGTTGTATTTTTTAGGCCTTTCTCTGAGATCTGCCCGTTGCACAGCCATACGTATTAGATGACTTTGGGACTTGCTTTACGTCAACGATGAAGGGATTATCTAGCAGCCGTAGTCATCATCATGGGGTTACCTGTGACTCTCCATGTGACAGTCTGCCACACCACCAGGACAGGAAGCCATATTTGTTAAACCCAGTGGACCCCCATCCTGCAGATCACCCTTACTACACTCAAAGGAACTCTTTTCAGGCAGAGTGCATGGTGCCCTACAATGATCAGATTGCCAGCAGCACATTTCCCCGGAGGCATTACAGTTCCCACCATGAACTCAAGGACGAGTGTGCTCTGGTTCCCCATGGAACCACCAGGACAGGAAGCCATATTTGTTAAACCCAGTGGACCCCCATCCTGCAGATCACCCTTACTACACTCAAAGGAACTCTTTTCAGGCAGAGTGCATGGTGCCCTACAATGATCAGATTGCCAGCAGCACATTTCCCCGGAGGCATTACAGTTCCCACCATGAACTCAAGGACGAGTGTGCTCTGGTTCCCCATGGAACTGCCAACAAGAAGCATTCCTGTTTTTTTTTCCCTGCCTCTGAATCGAGATGGCTACCACACTCTGCAGTACAAGCGGACTGCCATGGAGCACCGCAGTGACAGCCCAGGGAGGATCCGGCATCTGGTTCATTCTGTCCAAAAGCTCTTTACCAAGTCCCATTCACTGGAGGGGCCATCCAAGGGGAGTGTCAATGGGGGAAAAGCAAGCCCAGAGGAGTCACAGACGATGAGGTATGGGAAGCGCAGCAAGAGTAAAGAAAGGCGAACAGAAGGTAAGCCCAGATCCAATGCGTCTGGATGGTGGAGTTCAGATGACAACTTGGACAATGATGTTTGCATTTATCATGGTCCCAGTGGGGTCATGACCATGGGAAGATGCCCTGATCGTTCTTCTTCCCAATACTTTATGGAAGCCTATAACACTATTAGTGAACATACTGTGAAGTCATCCAGAAGCAATAATGATGTCAAATGCTCTACCTGTGCAAACCTGCCTGTGAATTTGGACTCCCAGTTAATGAAGAAAAGCTCTTGGTCCTCTACATTAACCGTGAGCAGAGCCCGTGAAGTTTACCAGAAAGCATCAGTTAACATGGACCAGACAGTGGTGAAGGCAGAAACGTGTCAACAGGAACGGTCATGTCAGTACCTCCAGGTATAGTGTGGAGAACTGATTGCTGTTAACTGTGCTCTGCCTTGTCTCAGGTGTTTGTGGGGGATGGAGGTTTGTTCTGATGTCTCAACTTTTCCCGAGGTCACTGAACACCAAACAAGGGGTAATGCTGCTGAAGTTGAAAATAAATCAGTTTTGGTTTTGGTTTTTTTTTTCCAGCATTCAGTGTTTGACATAAATAGTTCATGCTAGAACAGGATTTCTTTTTCATGTGGGAAAAATAAGACCTTTCTGTGTACTTTTTGAGTTTATAAGGCTGACACAGTAGGGGTATAGGGAATTTGATGCTGTAGTGCTTGCATTTAGCATTACAATTTCAATTAACTGAATGTTACCAGGATACAAATTCTTTGGTTTCTGTAATTTCAAGATTTGCCTTCATTTACTGCTTGTTATTTTATGAAAGCTTTTGAGACCTTTTGAGAATCTTTGGGGTACCTTAATATTTTCTCCATCAGAAAAACAACCTACTTTTATTTTTGCCATAGAATATAAATTCTCATAAAACAGTTATTGTAATGTGTCCAGATTTGTTTATCGGGCTATTCCTCTTTTTCATGGCTTTGAGTCAAAAATAAAAAATCAAAAGGTTGAAATTATTGCTTGTTCTGATTATACATTTTAGGAGTACATCACCTACTCCCTCACAAGCTGTTTGCAGTTAATACAGCGTCACTATTTTTCCCCAGTATTGTATCTTTAAATGTCAAGAATCAGATGTCTCCTCTTGGAGCTATCATACTGCCGGTGAATGTTTGTGGCAGGAACATGGATCAGAAAATATTAAAACTGTTTCATTCTTAGGAGAGCTGTGGATAGCTTTTATGCACTTTAAACGAAGCACTTATGGCACATCTAAGTGTGTGTGTAAGATGGAACAACGTTGCACAGAGAAGAGAGAAGACCATGAGGAAAAAAGAGGTTTGCTAAGATGATTTGGTTTCATTTTAAAGTAGTGGGACTATTTGTATAGAAACTGTAGCGAGTTCTCTTATATGGGTGCTTTAATGAGACTGTCAGCTTTCACATTCTGTTGTTTAAGTCAGTATGCAGAGAAAGCGTAGGACTGAGGTATCCCCATTTAAAATTTGATCTCAAAAGGTTTTATGAAGTGGTATGCAGAATAATTCTGAATGCCAGCCGCTGGGATTCTAAGTTTTAAATTAAAGGAATGGATCTGTGTATTTTCTATTAATTGTTAGGAGAGTGGGGTGGGGGGTGAGGGGGGCAATACAAATTCTCAATGTGTTTACAGCTCTGCGTATGGGCTGGGGAGGGAGAGGGTTTCTAAATAGCCTCAGGTTGCAGCCTTTTGAGTTTGTGTTTTTTTGATTGTCTCTTTTGTCTGAATTTTGTGAGTGAGAAGAAATCATAACTTTAGGCTTGATTGTTGTTGTTACTTTGGACCCTGAGATATGTTTTGTTGATGTTTTTGTTTACTCCTTTAGTCTTTATCTCAGGTTAGATAAAATAGCTGACAATTCAGTATGTGACCAGATGGCTAGAAAAGAGCAAAAAACTGTGCCAGCATCAGCTTTAAATGAACACCTCCATAGGGACTTTTAGATAATGTTTAACTGACAGGAATAGACTCTTGAAGTGGAATTAGAGGACATTATCTGTGTCTGTATGAAAATATGTCCAACAATTGTCAAGGGCAAGAATAACTAAATTCTCACTTAGAATAACTGAATTCTCACTGTTTCCCATCCTCACTGGTAGTTTTATTTTGGCTTTCATTTAATTTTGTTCCATTTTTTTTAACTGTATGCTATTGTAAAAGCAAGGGAAATGTAACTGGTTTGAAATTATTCTTTTTTAAAAAGGAAAATCTTAACCAAGCATCTGTTAACATTGGAAGTAATATTCAAACAGAGTACAGTAGATTTAAGGAAGCAGGTCAGGATTATTCTTCTCTCTTGGCAGCTTGAAAGGATGACAAATTTATATAGGTATTTAAAAAGTCAGTCTACTTTGAATGTATCCCATTGCTTTTCTCTTCACTATATCACTTATCTTTTTACACTACAAGCCCTTTGGGGCTTGGACTTTGTTCCTTTTTGTGTTTCTGCAGTGCCCAGCACAATGGGGCACAGAACCTAATTGAGGCCTTTTGGCTGTCCTGCAATATAAATATATATTAACAGCAGTAGAGTACTACTCCATTAGTGGGTTGCAGAGTTATTCTGTCTATCTGTTATTTTCCTGGTGACCTTCTCATCATTGTAGCAAAAGTCTGGTGTCCTATGTTAGAACAATTAGAAATGCACAAAATCAGAAGAAAGCTTTAGATTCATGATAACACTGGGTAACTCTGAGAATTTCATTTCATTATTGTGATGCTCCTTTGTTGCTTTTTTTAACTCATTAAATGTTAAATAGATGCTTTTACCAGCTCACTTGTAATTTAAGTTGCCTATGGTCCAGGACACAAACTCTCAGGACATAACTTTCTGATCCTTCAGAGAGGCAACTATTTGTTCATGCAAGCTCTTCTTGTGATACTATCTGAATTCAATGAAGGAGTGATTTTTTTGACTCAAGATACTCAGGATAATTTTCTTTATCCTGATAGATCTAAGTATATCAGAGATCACAAGTGACACTGGCTTCACATTTGCTTGTAAGGTCTTATCACAATAGTATCTGCATAAATTCTCAGTGTAAAGACATAGAAATCACAATTATCTTGCTTGCTGTGATATTTTCCACATATCCATTCTGTGGAGGAAGTTGGCAGTAGTTTGTATTACAGATGGGCTTATTTATCATAATTTGGAATTTGGATAGAGTGCAGAGTTCTCCTGGATTGCACTGGTCTTTACCCCAGCAGGCTCCTCTTCCAGCCCTGGTGCTGAGGTGCAGTGTCCATCCTGGGAGATCTAGGAGAGGCTTGGGTCAACACTGTGCATCTTCGGAAACAGATAAAAGCTCCCAGTGTAGTCTAAAGGCTGTCAATAAATCTTTTCCTCTTACCTGCATTTTGCGAATGGAATTGCATTTTCATCTTCTATTTCTCCTTTCAAGAGTAAAAAGCTGGATAGTAGAAAGAATAAGGTCCTTTTTCTGAGCTGATTCTTACTTCAGCAAAGTGCTTCTCTTTGATCCGGGTTTACAGTTGGACTAATTTGAAGGAAGATGAGAAGGAAGTGTTCATGTTTTCTCAAAATTCTTCTTCAAAATTCTTTCACTCCCTTGGAAGAGTAATATTTAAAGCAGTGGACAGCCTCTACTTCTCTGGCAGCTTCTCCTCTGGAAAAATTAAAATTGAGTGAACTATCAATGATAAAATGTAAGCAGCAGTTCTTTTCTGCGAACAATAGGATTTAAATACATAGGTAGATATATTTGACACTTATTTTTTATGAATTCATGACTGTTGGAGCTAATAGAGTATCTAATACACTGCAGAGTTTGTCTCTGATTATGGTTTTGCCATTCAGTGTTCCCTGTAATCATTATTCCCATTGTCCTTGGTCCATTCATTAAGAGACTGAGAAAAATACAAAGGACGACATTTTTCGTATTAATCCTCTTTTCTTCTTATATGGGTCAGTCATACGTTTTCTTTTGGTCCCATTTGATGAGGCTGAATTCAGTTGTGTCAGACACTTGGAGCTGAGGATGGAAATTTTACTTCTGAAAACTGAAGTGCAGTAGGTGGGGACAACAGTGTAGTCATCCGAGTTCCACATTTGCATTGCTTGTCATGTGGTGGGAGACTGTGAGAAATACTATAAAAAAATCTAAGCCAAGTTTCTCGGTGTAATAAGAGTTTTCTGGTGGTGAAGGGTTCTGATTCGAACTGCACTCAATTTCCTGTGTGAAGGTTGTCTGTAATGTGCATTATTGTATAATGTGTAGTGTTAAGAAGCTCATAATCTAAGTGACTTGTTTTCCAGTCTCAGGACAAGGCAATTCCAGAGTTTCTTAGGCAATCCTGCTCAATCCCATCCTCTTTCTGTTGCCAGCGTCCATGGATGGCCAAATAGACAGCATTGACCTAGGTCAGGGTGCTAATAAGGACCAGTAAGTGTAATGTGATTTGTTAACATGGTATGTTAAATTACAAAGTGTTTATTCAAAGAGCAATTTATGGTAGATCCATTATACTGGACTTATCTAAGTAAATCTGTCCTCATTTTCAGTTTATCTCTACATTTTCCTCATTTATGGTGTTTGTGTTTCAGACGCAACTACCATATTCCAGTTAATCTTCCAGTATATGCTTGTGTATATATATATATATAT